CCCCCCCCCCTTTTTTTTTTTTTTTTTTTTGCTATCCAACCTCTCTTCCCTCCAGTCCTTTGAGCACCACAGATCAAGTAACCTTCCCTGCCTATGGCCATTTGTGGATGACACTTTAAAGAGGGTTTGAAGTGGGTTAAATGCCTTTTGCACTGCTTTAATAGCATTGCTGTTTGCACATTCGGCGGTGTACTGTGCCTTAAATGACTTTGGGATGCAGTAAAGTAAAACGCCTCCGAGGAGTTTTAGTTTCCTACCCTACAGCTGTGGAGGAAGGCACCAGCACAGGCGCTGTGCAGGCAGACCGTACAGGCAGCCTGGAAGCAGCCTGGGAAGGCAGGCTCCGCAGAAGAAGAAAAAAAAAAAAGAAGAGAAGGAAAGCAGCAAGCCTGATCTTTTTTTCTTCTTCCCCCAGAGCCTGTCTGCCTGAGCTGTGCGGGGGCCCAGTGCTTCCCTCCACAGCTGTGGTGCCCCCTGGGACTGCTCGAGCCAGGTGTCTGCAGGCAGGTGGCACTTGGGGGGGTGCCACTGCTGCCATGGAGGGAAGCACCAGCTCCTCCCCCCCACCCCCCTGAAGTTCAGGGACCGCTCCGCCCATCAGCAGCAGAAAGAAAATAATAGCCTTTGCTTAATTGAGGTCTCTGCATATATCACTACCGCTCCGTGACCTGATCCTTGCTTAAAAAGCTGGAATGGAAAGAGGGGGCTGGTCTGGGAATTATCCAATTAAGATTTCTAAGCAAAATGCAATGGCTCAGAGTCTATCTTCCAAACCACAGAAGAATTTTCTTTCAAAATACTTTCCCCTCAGTCAGCAGTCTCTTGCACTCCCCTTCCCTTTGTCAAACCTGCTGCTGGAAAAAGTCTCTCGGTTCCAGAAGGCAACACGTCCATTCAAATGGATTTTTGTGCTAAAAACTTTTTTGTTCTTCTTCCCTAAATTCCCCTTCATTTTAGCCACACCTGGTTTGACTCCACTGTTGCAAGGCATCCCCCGCTCCCCTTACTTTTAAAATTGCAGTTTTAGGTTTTTATCTGTCCGCATGCTTCGGATAACTAAAAACCTGCTGTTACCAAGTTTCTATTAAAGTTTGCTCATTGTTGTAGATCCTTGTTACTTCACAGATTCAGTGCCACTGCTACAAGTTCTCTGATGTTTAGCCTTCTTGCATGCTTTAGAGAAGGTAAAGGAAATTGGCCATAACATCCTTGGCATTTACGTTAACTGCAGCAGGGGAAAGCTCTTAAGACCCTACCTACGGATTTTAATCTATAGAAACATTCAAACAATAGCAGAGAACCATACAGTTATTTCTGAACTACGGCAATACCAACAATGTGATGAGCACTGCTTGCGTATACAGCAAGGCCATTTGTTCTGCATAGTACAGGATCTCATTTCTCGGGCTAAAGGAAAAACCAGTTCACTATTTGCAATACAGGACCCGTGACACTTGGCTCCCATCCAGTAGTTCTGCTCCCATCCAGGGGAGGGGCAATGAAATATTATTATAGGGAACAACCTGAAGTTAACAAAGAGAGGAAACAAACTGGGTTGCCAACTCCATCACTAGTTCCTATACTTGTAGAAAACTGCTTTAAAAGTGTAATGCAAAGGAGATTTACTGTATTCAGGCTTTTAAAAATAGCTTGAACTCATTTAAAGTCTTTGGTTTCCCTTATCTTCTTGCAAAGCAGCAGCTGGCAAAATGCACAGCATTTAACAGTTTTCAACAATCTTTTTGTCTGCAAAATCTACAGAATTATGGCTAAGATTTTCAAAAGAGACCAATGATTTCTGGGCAGACGATTTATGACTTGCCTGCAGTGGGGTCTGTTTTTCAGGGAGTGCTGAGCCCAGCCCCTCACTGGAAGAGTCAGACGCCTGGACAGCATCCCCGAGCGAGACACAAGGCAAAGAAGTCCCGAGTCACTTCTGAAAGCCTTGCCTTTTCCGACCACTTAACTGTAAGTTAATTTGGTCCTAGTCTCCAACTGGAATAGTACAGGCACAGCTGGTAGAGCCACCTAGCACAAGGGGAAGTTGGACAACCTTAACAAAGCCATTGAAAACAGTACTACCATTTTACTAAACAGGAAGGCTTGAGCTGGAGTTTTCCCATAAGTGCCAGCCTGAGACTAGATTTTTTAAATTTTTTTTTTTTT